TACTTTTTTTCATGCCGCTGTAACTTTGAATGGTCATTAAACAAATAGTTGAAAGTCAAGGATTATCTGTAGACCCTCTGACATGTATAAAGGTAAAGGTTCCCCTCACACATATGTGCTAGTCGTTTCTGGCTCTAGGGGACAGTGCTCATCTCCGTTTCAAAGCCGAAGAGCCAGCACTGTCCGAAGACGTCTCCGTGGCCGGCATGACTAAATGCCAAAGGTGCACGGAACGCTGTTACCTTCCCACCAAAGTGGTCCCTATTTTTCTACTCGCATTTTTACATGCTTTCGAACTGCTAGGTTGGCAGAAGCTGGGACAAGTAACGGGAGCTCACGTGGTGCTAGGGATTCGAACCGCTGAACTGTCAACAAGCTCAGCGTCTTAGCCACTGAGCCACCGCGTCCCTTCTGGCATGTATACTAAGTGCACAATTGGCTTATCGCATCAGGGCAACCACTAGAGAGCAGCAAAGCAGCAGAAAGTTTTCTCTTCCTTTCCCCTGCCACCTAGCAGTCACCCGCATATTTGCAGACTGTTTCTGGTAGCTACAAAGTTGTCCACCTCAAAAGTAAGAATGATGCCAATCCTCTATTTATGATTTACATTGCAATCAGAAATACAGGTCACTAGACGCTGAAAAATAGTGGGATTTAATTTACATTTTCATGTAAATTAAATCAATATTCATTTATTAGATTTATATCTATTCTTTCTTCCAAACATTCGTTGCATTACTGAACTTCCATTGAGGATTTCCCCCCCCCCCCTCCAAGCAATCTTAAGGCTGGACTGAGCGATTGTGTCTTCCCTCAAATCGTCTGCTGAGCTTCCACAACCTTGAGGGTGGACCCAAGTGTCCCCTTCCCCTGGTGATTGATCTCACTGTGTTGCCAGGATGAAGAATTTGCACTTGGTGATATGCTGAGCTCTACCTTATAGGCATGGGAGCCCTGTTCTGTTTTGCATGTGGTTATTATTCTCCTGTTGTACACAAAAGAATGTAGGAAGCTGTCTTCCGCAGCCACATGAGGTTAGTCTGCCTTTGCAACAAAACTTCTCTCTTCAGCAATGCTACAGAGAGAGCATCCTATTCCCCTGGCTTCAGGAGTAAGCTCAAAGAAGTGTCAGAGATGGGGAAATAAGGATTCGTCCTCTTTCTTTTCCCCCTCGCCCTACAAAGTCTGTGAAGCTCGAGAACAAAGTGCAGGCTTCATCTATGCACAACAGCCCTTGCTAAGTGCCATTTTCACTTCCCATGTGGGAGACTTCGAGAAATCAGCTGATCTCCGGATGTTTAAAATGTGATTTGTAAGAGGCATCCCATCCTAAAGACGGTATTGGAGAGCTTGCTTCCGTAAGGGTTCACCGTGGCGATAAATGGTCCAGAAAGTAGATCGTGACCTCCTAATGTCAGTGGCAAGACACTTATTTGCATCCCAGGCAAACAGGCCATACACACCAAATTTATTCCAGTTCTGGAATGTGAAGTCACAGATGGGAGAATGTAATAGATCAAGGGTGTCAAGGGTGTTGTCGTATGGTAGCGTCACATGATGTATCCGGACTTTTTTCCCCTTCGTTAAACCAGGCAGGGGTGGGGCCAGCACGTGAGGCATCTGGCCCATGGGCTGTGAGTTTGACAACTCTGTATAGATAAGAGGAAAAATTTCCCTATTCAAGGTATGGTTAAACAAAAAGATTCCTTTTGGAAAGTGTAATTACAGCCAACCCAAGGTACAGTTTTACAACATGAATAGAGGAATCCAGAATAGGATAAGGGAAATGTCTATTTGTAATTACTGGCAATATTTTACCTGCAACATCAGAGTCAACAAATTTCTCAATACATTTAAAATCATTGCTGTCTAAGCAAGGCTATGCTGATCCCACAAATATTTATTGGGGAAAGCTCATGAAATCTGAATCAGATAAATGGCCTATCTGATTCAGTATTTTTAATAGTACGGTAATTGCTGGAAGCTGCCCAGAATCTCAAAAAGGGTTTTTTTTAATCTGTTTTATCTGGACTTGCTCAGAATAAGATGTAATAGACAAAAAAAAACCCTACCTATTGTCCTCTTTCCCTATGGGGTAAGCAGTATCATGTTTCAACACAGAAATAGAGTAAGGAATAGTAAGCCAAGTGAATGAGTAACTAAAATGAACTTATTTAATTTTATTCACCACACCTCTGCATATCTTTGTTTTACCCATTTAATAATTTAATCTATTCAATTTATTGTAACACTTCTTCTAATATAGCATAAATTTTCTTTTCCTGTTCATTAATTACTGAAAAGCAAAAATCTGGTCTGAATGTTAATGTTTTTGCACTCATTCTTGCCTCCTTCCCCTTCATCTAGGGCAGCAGTGGGGAACTGTGGCCCCTTTATGACTTGTGGACTTCAACTGTGGCAGGCTCAGGAATTCTGGGAGTTGAAGTCCACAGTCATAAAAGTGCCATAGTTCCCCACCACTGATTTAGGGGAACAATAATGGCATTACTCTCAACCTTAGGCACAGATGCAGTCTTCAAACAAATTACACAACCACTTTAGAAACAGCAATATCCATGTTTAACAGTTCTGCAGTTACACTGTCTACACCTGCAGCCTTACTATTTTTCAAAACCTTTAGAGCTTTTCATCAGATTTCTTCTCGGGCACATTTATAGCATTTATCAATAAAGGAGAATATTTGTAGATCAGGGTTGAAATGAAGGGTCCTTGGTACTTTCTGAGCTTGCTTGTTTTAGTAACATCATCAATGCTAGTAAGCAAGCTTAGCAGAGAGCACCAAGGACCCCTTTATAGCATTCATTTCTGTTCTAAACTCTGCAATATGTTTGACATATGACATGTCTTATACAGGTCTTTAATATATTCCTTCCAGCATTTCCTCACTTTAGTTTCATTTCAAATTGTTTCATTTTTTTTATTCCATTCCTGATGGAGACTCCTTGTTTAGCCTTTATAAAGCTTCATTCCCCAAGATCTTCTTGACACTACCAAAGCCTGGTTTGTCCCACATTCAGATTCTCTCATTACTATTCACTACTTCATAGGCTTTCATCCTAAAGAATAAAGCAGTCATCCTTTTAGGTTAATATTCATTCCTTTGACGTGGGTATGTATGAATAGTCTTATAGAATTTAACTCATTAATAGTCTTATAGTTAAATCCTGTTTTTAGAACACACAGAATTTTTCGAAGTGAATAGTCACCATTTTTATTCATGCTGGCCTCTGAATGGCCAATAATTTTTTCTGCACCTTCGCTCTTCATTCTCACCCATCCATTGATATATTTTTTCCCCATTGAATTATATATTTTAAGAATGTTGCACTGTTTTTCCAAAACTTATCTGATTATTACATTAGCACCATTTACTAGAGTTTAATTTGCAACTAGCACCAATCCAGGATTCCTACTTTCATATGCACCCATAACAACTTATATGATTCCAATTCATACTTTCTGACATAGATTTCTGCATTTTTAACCACAATTAAGTCAATCTTCATTTCCCTGCATATTTATCAATTCCACCCTACAAGATCAGTCTACTCTCATGCAAAACTATTACATCGTGCTCCTTTCCCTCTGTTTCACAAACATATCTATTTTTCCTTAATTTCATCTATTAACGTGCCATTTGCCATTGGCTGCTCTAGTCTTCTTTTATATGCTATGGTTGTCATCTGTTGGACCCTGGAAGTTGGCACCTACTCATCATCATGACTTTGGTCAGTGGAAATGTTTCCATAACACATTTGAAGATGTAGATAGAGGCAGTGTAGTTAGTCATACCTATATCACATAGTGTCAAGGAATTGTGATAGAGATGGGAACGCCTGGAAAAATTGGGGGGAAAACAGTTTACTGTGTTGTTGTTTTTTTCATTTCCCCCCCCATTTTTCCCCCAAAGGTGTTTGGGGAAAAAGCAGAACAAAACCTGTTTCCCCCCCAATTTTTCTGTTGTTTTTTTTCAAAGCCTTCTTATCTCTAATTGCACAGCAGCTGTCCAGATGAAATCAGAGACCCTGACACAAACTTGTCATCTGTCTATCTATCTATCTATCTATCTATCTATCTATCTATCTATCTATCTATAATGTTCAAATTTACAGCCGTCTTTGTCATCATCCAGAAAAGAAAGAATGTAAGATAGTCAAGAACACAGGAATATCGTGAGGTAAATCTAAACAGTATATAGAACACACAGAAGAAAAAAAGAGGGAAAAAGGGAAACTCCCCCTTTATACATACTTATGGCAATACATCATAGCGTAGATTGCATCATGCATGAGTCAGCATTCTCTAACTAATCACCTAAAACTGTGTTCTGGCCTACTGCACACTTTTCTGTTCCAGCTACTAAATTCAGTGTCCTAACACAAGGGTCTCCCACAGTGGTGGAATTCAATTTTTTTTACTTCCGGTTCTGTTGGCGTGGCTTGGTGGGCATGGCAGAGGAAGAATACTGCAAAATCCCATTCCCTTCCCACCCCACTAACCTGCTTTCCAGCTCCGTTCTCCTGTGCAGGGCAACCAAAGAAGACCCAGCCAATCAGCTGGGACTCGGGAGGCAGAGAATAGATGGGGGCGGGGCCAGTCAGAGGTAGTATTTGGCGGTTCTCCAAACTACTCAAAATTTCCACTACGGGTTCTCCAGAACTGGTCAGAACCTGCTGAATACCACCTCTGGTCCCCCAACTCCCGGTCCATGGACTGGCACTGGGCCACGACATGCCAGAAACTGGGCTGCACGAACAAGTGCCATTCACGGGATGCAGGCAGCATGTGAAACCACGCCCTTTCTGATCCATGGAAAAATCTCTCTTCACAGAACTGGTCCCTGATACCCCAAAAGTTGGGGACCACTCAGATGTGGGCTGCACTTTCATTGACAAGGGATTCGCTGGGGCTGAAACGCAGCTTCAAACAGGCAGCTGATCGACTCAGGCAGGTCCGATGAGTACAGCAGGGCAGTGCCAAACTCACCTGGGCAGCTTGGGTGGGGGAAAAGTTAGTTATTTAGGGAAAGCAGAGCACAAGGGTGGGTGGACGGGCCCAGCTAGAGATCACAGCTAGGGGTTCACCCAAACCTCACTGACCATCCAGCAACCCACCAATGGGACCGCTATCCTAATATATAGCACGTCCTAGTAAAGGTAATAAGCATGCTCAGGCTACTTTATGCAAGCTAGGATCTCCACTCTAGAGACTAGCTTGTATGCGAACATGTTCATACCAAACCAAGCAGTTGGTAGACAGATGCAGCTTGCTCACCCACACTCTAAAAGGAAGGCAAATAATTTTGCAGAAGCGTGCTGTACTATTGACCTGTTACTGCAAATTCTACACATCAAACTACAGAATATGGAAACAAAGTCTAAGAAAAAAAGGAAATGAGAATATGTCATCATTTCACTCAGGCCCTTTTCATGCGTAAGACACTTTGATGGACTCCCCCCCCCCCCCCCCCCCCATGCCAGGATGCAGCAAAAACAGTACAAAGAATAAAGTATGATCGGTTAATAGATGAATGTGTGGCACAAAAGGTAACCACAGGGAAGTAACTCAGGAAGACAGCTCACATATTTTTTCACCCTTCACAGTGCTGCAATTGCAAATTTCAATGGTTAACCTTGTTTGTCTTTGATTCTTCAATTTGAGCAGCTTTTAAAAACAGCAAAAATCGTAGACACCAGTTTGGCCCACTAAGTCTTCCACAACCCCAGCTTTTTGCTGGCCCTGATTATGTAGTGTTTCTTTGCTTTCTTTGCATTTTATCTCTCTATTCCTTCTTAGCAACATCCTCACCAAATGCCCAGTGACTGCTTTCCTGAAAGCAGGCAGTCTCTGACTCTATCTTTCAAGGAGATGGATGCCATTCCTGCTAATATTATCTACAGAAATAGGTAGTCCTCAAGTTACAATTGTTTATTTTGTTACAATAGTGCTTAAAAAGTGATTTATGACTATTTTTCACATGGCCATTGCAGCATCCTCCTAGTCATGTGATCAAAATTTGGACACTTAGTGACTGGCTCATATTTATGACAGTTGCAGTGTCCTGGGGTCATGTGATGACCTTCCACAACTTTCTGACAAGCAAAGTCAATGGCTAAGCCAGATTCATTTAACAACTCTGTCACTAATTTAACAACTGCAGTGATCCACTTAACAAACTGTGGCAAGAAAGGTCGTAAAATGGGCCAAAACTCACTTAAGAAATGTCTCACTTAGCAACAGAAATTTTGGATTCAGTTGTGGTCGTAAGTCAAAGACCTGTATCTATAGAAGAAAAAATAATGACAGCTTGAGGAATGTTTAATGTGAGAGTGAAGTAATTATCTGGATCGTGAAAGAAAATATTGGAATGGCTCTGCCCAGCCTTCTGGAAGAAATTTCTGAGCTTGAAACAGATCGTATTGGCCAGTGTGGAAGTATTTCAAGCCTTGAACTTCTCTATTTAGGGTATAAAATGGGGCCTGTTGGGGCTATTCAAAATGTTCCAAGTAATCCATTTTACATGAAAACCATTTAACACAAGAAAGGCCTTGCACACCCCCAGGATCTAGAAACTAGAGTAAATTAAATTTAGATTGCATCCAGTCTCAAAGTATTGCTCTAATGCTGGAATGAAAACCTGCAAACTTTCAGATATAGCTATATAGTTACATATAGTTAGAGAAGCAAGAGCTTTTGGTCTTTATTTATTTATTTATTTGCAACTACCTATAGCGTTGCATTTCCAACATTTAGGTGAAACTCTGAGGTAGCATGTAATGCCAGCCCAGAAATGATTTGCTCAGAGCATAGTAATGTACCTGGAAATCAGCAGGAATTTCTTGGCAGGTGAAAGCATGCTGTGAGCATGTAAACTTCCTTGGTTATTTTGCCAGTAGTGATTATCAGTTGAGCAGAGTGAAAATTCAAATGGCCATTTGTACATCAAAGGGCTCTAAATATATGAAATTAGCAGCTGATAAGATTCGGCCTAAGAAATTAGACATCTTTTCTTTTTCTGTTCATATTATGCAAGTTGACCATTATTAGCAATGTGGTTTTGATCAGATTCTTAACGGTGTCTTTTAAAACCATATGATGTGCAAGCAACTTTTTAAAATTTATTCTAGTATGTTTTAAAGCTGTGGCTGAATGCCATAACCTTGATGTTTAGCAGGGGACAATTGAAATTCATTTAATATGAAATTGAGCAGTTCTGTAATATATGATTGTGGGAGATGATCACAATGTGCAAAGCCTGTTGTTTGACTGGTTGAACTATTTTGTAATGTAGATATATTTTGTTTCAGCAAATTATATTTCTCTTAAAACAACTAAATGAATAATAATGGCATCTGATATTTTACTTTGCTGAAATATAGCTTTTTTAAAGTTATAATTGGTGCCTTAACAAGTAAAGTAAAAATATAAGAATGTTGATTTAAATATATTTATTTGATTCAAGATTGGGTTTGGCCTGTAGATTAATAGTGATAGTTTTTTTTTTTTTTTACATATCTGGAAGGTGCAGTCTCCTATGGTTATTCAATGAATGAGTCTTTAACACTTGCAGAAAATCTTATTCCTAAATAGAAACATATGTCATTCCCCTTGATGATATCCAAGGAATATCACAGCCCCAACATACGTTTAATGATTACAGTTTAACTGCAGAATTTCCTGGACAGAAGTTTGAGATCCAGAATAGTGTCTTTTATAGGAAGATAGTAACCATAATACACAAACAGGGGTAGTTTTAACTAGTTGGTTTCTAGAATTTCTAGCTGATTTCTACTATATGCTGCTAAGTCCTGGGGTCTCTAAGCAAAGAGTATCTGTTGTGAGCTGCTACATGCTTTGATGATGTGGAGAGAAATATACCATATTACCAAGAAAGATAAGGATCTAGAATCAAAGTAAATACTGCTCAGCTATCTTTATTCCTTGTCTTATTCCTTTAAAGAAGTGAAAAGTGGAAAACTGGAAAATGTGGACTGGAGAACAAATCCTGATCCTGCCTCAGCTTATTGATACAAATGGAGAAATAGTCTTCACAGGAGCTCAGTACACATTAAAGAGAGCTTTAGATCCAGTTCCTGAAGTGATTGTGTTATATTATGATATTGCCAGCTGCTAGCGGACTCAATGCATATTGCCAACTAAATAAAGTGGGGGGGGGGAACAGGCTGGCTTTTCTCTTGAGCTTTTAAAAGCAATCTGAAATCAGTATCTCCCACGATGAAGCATTATCATTTGATAGGAAATTAAGAAGATGCTGTAAAAATAAAGCAATATCCAAGGTCTTGTAATTCATGCCTCCAAATTACAGGTAGTCTCAACTTACCACCATTCATTTAGTGACCGTTCAAACTTACAACCACTGAAAAAAAGTCACCTCTGTCTATTTTTCACACTTAAATCTCTGCAGTATTTCCATGGTCATATGATCAAAATTTGGATGCTTGGCACCTGGCTCATTTTGTTGATGGTTGTAGTGTCCCAAGGTCACACGATCATCTTTTGTAACCTTTTTACAAGCAAAGTCAGTGGGGAAACCAGATTCACTTAACAACTGTGTTACTAACTTAAAAGCAACAGTGATTCACTTAACAACTGTGGCAAAGAAAGAAAATGGGGTAAAACTTAACAAATGTCTTGCTTAGCAATAGAAATTTTGGATTCAATTTTGGTTGTAAGTCGAGGACTACCTGTATTAACATCTAAAGCCTGAAGTTTGTCAACATCTTACATGCCAACTCTAGAGTTCCTCCACCCTTAACATCCCTCCAAGGAACACAGATTAAACAGGAAATGTTTCACGGGTATCAAAACTGACAAGACTTTCCTTCTTATTGTGAGCAGATTTCTTCTAAAGGTACGGAAATGATGCCAGAGGAAAAATTGGCAAATGTCCATGGTAGCGGCTTGCTTATTTAACTTTCAGAACCATTCCAGGAATTCTTCCTTCCTGTTTAACATAAAGCAAGAAAACCTGTTTTTCTCTGACTGATTATTAAGCACATGATTTCATTCTATGTGAATAAAAAAAAAATAGCAGGAAGTGGCTTGCTGACTATTGTGCACTTAGGGGTATGGCAAATAGAGTACCACAAGGCCTACATTTTTGAGTTGCTGAGCACTGTGGTTTTCCTGCCAGACACAGCCATTTGCATCTTGTACTACTGATTTGACAAGTTTTCTTCTCTCTCTTAAATTGAGCAGTTTATTTGCTATCGTCCTCCTTTACCTTTCATAATAGGAAAATCTGCTCTTTTCCAGAACAACTGGGAAAAGGGGAAATAATGGGTTTAGGCTACCTTTTGTTTGTTTTCAATTGCAGTCATGCTTTATGATTGCTGGTGTTCTCTGTGCATTTTTATCCTTATATAATGAGCATCAACTATTTGGGATCCACTAGTGAAGAAGAGGATACGTGGCAAGTTACTGAATATCCAGATAAGCACCTGATTGTTGTGAACAACTGGATTATTTGTATTTGTAATCCAGCTTTACTTTACTGTTAATGTCTTTCAGTTGTTTTTTTAATGTCAATTTCCTTGTTGGTAATCTCTACCAAAAACAGAACTGGGTGATCTGTATAAAGTAGGAAAATTGAGAAATGTAGATTATCTATTGGTGTTTTTGCTTGGAAAATACTGGGCGTAGGACTTAGAGAGAAACAGTTTGGTGTCATAACTATAACACCACGCTAGAAACCAGGAGATTGTGAGTTCTAGTCCCGCTTTAGGCAGAAAACCAGCTATGTAAACTTGGACCAGTCTCTTTCTCTCTTAGCCCTAGAAAAAGACAAGGCACACACTCCAAAAATCTTGCCAAGAAAATTGCACTGACTAAGCAGTCACTAGAAGTCAGCATCCATTTCCAACACCAAAACAAGGGCTTAAAGTTATGTATCATATTAGAACTCCTAATCCTCCTCTTCAGCCCCCCATCCACCTATCTTTTTTCTCTGTCCAGCTTCCCAGGGATGTTTTAGAATGCTTACTTTCTAAAGACAATAATATCCACCTCCTTGTTTCTACTGTTTTCAAATGGGAGAAACCAACAACATGTATATTGAATCTTCCAAGAAGGTACATGTTTAACACCGGGATAAAAAAAATACCATCAATAATTCCTGTATTTACCTTTTTGGAACTTCAGTTGTTATTCTACTTTTCTGGAATGATATCAGGTCCCAGAATTTGAATTACTTGTATACTTACTGGCAGCCACTATTCTGGGTATTAATTGCCATACATATTTTTCATTGCCACCCATACTAATTCATATACTTTCTATGTCTAGGATTGCTTGAAGGGTGAGTGCAAAAATTCTATATGAGAGTCACATCCTAGCTCTAGGAAATAACCCATGCTGCATATCTTTAAATAGAAAATAGGGGGTGGGGACAATTCCATTAACACTTAGCTATGATGACTGGACAGCTTATGGGAGCCCTGGTGGCACAGTGGTTAGAATGCTTTATTCAATCCTGACAGACTCAAGGTTGACTTAACCTTGCATCCTCCCTAAGCCAGTAAAATGAGGACCCAGATTGTTGGGGGCAATATGCTGACATTGTAAACCACCCAGAGAGCACTGTAAAGCACTTTAGGGTGGTATATAAGTCTAAGTGCTATTGCTATAGCTATTATATGAACTGGAGTTCAACTGTCTCCAATATGGCTTAGGTTCCTGAAATTTGTCCTCAAGTTAATTCAAAAGGGAAAGACTGTCAGAGCTGGCTTAACTATAATAGAAGAAAACAGAGGACTAAGCAAGAACCCTTTCCTTGATTTTCATTAAACTTATTTCAGTTTATTGTTCTAGAGAAACAGAAGAAATCTGCAGCTTTTGCAGCCACTGAACTGTATTGATTTTGCTTTGGTTTTCTTATTGAATGGGGACATCCTGAACTTGAATATTTGCTGGAATGAATTTTAGGGAGCAAGAGTGTTCTGAAATCAAGCACATCCATATGTTCAATGGAAACACCACATTCCAAAATTAAGAACATTCACAATAAATTCAGAGACATCTGACAAGCCTGACACAGGGCCAGACAAATGAAACAAGAAGCACCCACAAGATGCTATATTATAAAGTCATCCCTACTCATGAAAGCTGTAGTTAATTATGAGTGCATTTGCTTCACATTGTATATGTTTTCAGTCTTGGGCTTCCGTTTCTTCTGCTAAAAGCATCCTCCTCAGCTTCATTTTGGATAGATAGATCTCCCTCAGCTTCATTTTGGATTATCATTGTGAACTGCAGTTCATGGAGCTGGGTTGGATAAACCAATGATCTGAATCAATCTATGATACCTTATTTCTGTAACCAGTTTCCCAAATGTAGTCCAGCTGAATACAGCAGAAAACCAAAAATGGAGGGAACGGCTTGGGTTGTAGCTCCGTCAAGATTACTTCACCCTTTGTTTTAATAGGATTCTCTCCTTGTGCATGGCAATCCTGAATGCTAAAAAAAACCCCACCCTTTTCGCATCTGGCATTGGGATTAGCTATATGTTACAGAAAATTAATCTACATTGATTAGTCTTCAACAAACATCCATTCTTATCTAGTGGGTTTCCCGGATGTAGTGTCAGCATTTATCTTCCCAAAGATTTGATATTAATTATTTAAATGTGATATTTAAAGTACAAGATGTTTTGGGGTGCTTTCACACAGGGAAAGTTGTACCATGGTGATTTGCCCATGAATGTACTCTACTGAAGCCCTGGGTTTTTTGAAATTTTAAGCCATGTAAGAAATCTGTTTTCTGGGCCTTATTGTTTCAAATAAGCAATTGGTTGTGATCAAGGTTGCCTTTAGTTTGGGCCTTAGCTTCATTTTGCTGGCAACCCCTTTCAATAAGAAAGATGTATCGGGTGGCTGTCACTATCTTCAAGTTCTTAAAGTTGAAATCCCAGTGCATTTGGAAGATGTCAGATTGTAAAGGGTTTTTTTTCCACTGGCCTATAGTATTTCTATAGTATTGAGAATATTATATACTGTATATAGTATATTATATATACATATAGCCTATAGTATTGAGCCTCTGTGGCGCGATGGTTAGAGTTTAGTACTGCCAGCTGCCTACAATTTGGCAGTTCAAATCCCACCAGGCTTAAGGTTGACTCAGCCTTCCATCCTTCCGAGGTGGGTAAAATGAGGACCCAAACTGTTGGGGGCAATACGCTGACTCTGTAAACCGCTTAGACAGGACTGTAAAGCACTGTAAAGCAATATATAAGACTAAGTGTGTCGTGTCCGTCGCGGGAAGGAAGCTCGGAGTCAGTGACTTGGTTTCAGCTCTTTATTGGCTCCGGATACAGCTTAAGCTTGGAGAGGAAAGACTGTGGCTTTTATTTTCGAGCCGCGGCGGCCGCGGCCAATGGCACCGCTTTGAATCTCCCGCGATTAGTTTCCACCAATCGCGGGGGATTCGCAACGGGCCAATCAGTGCGGCTCGCTCGACCAATCCGGTCGCCGCGCGCTTTAGCCAATCGCGACGCGGGGCTACGAGTATGTAAATTGACTGTACAGAACACCCCTCCCCTCTTGGTTCGGTCCTACGTAACGTAGTCCCGTAGGTAGGCGGGGCTTCGTACTTGCCTACTTGACTTGCGCAGATTAGTTGTTGTTTGGCTCCCGGCCGGTTCGGTCGGGACTTCTGTTTCTCTTGGCCTTGTCGATGGAACCCCCTGGAAGGTGTCGCTGGGCCTCTTGTTGCAGCTCCCTCCCGGTCTACCCGGGTTGGTCGAGCTGCGACTTTCGCCGCTCCTGCCTGGTCTTTCCGGGCTGGTTGAGCTGGCCTGGCTGTTTCTTCCTGGTGAGACTTCGGGCTGGCTGTTGACTGGTGAGTATTGCTGGTTTTCTATTTGATCCCCTGTATCTTCCCTCCCCTCTTGGTTTGTGTTAACGGGGTCGTCTGTGTTTGGTTGCGTGTCGGTTGTGTTTTTTGTTCTTGATCTTAATTGATCGATGTGGCGTTTCCATGTTTGTCCGTCGGTTGTCTGTAGCCGGTAGGAGTGGGGTCCTGTCAGTTGGGTTATAGTTGCCGGTACCCATAGTGGGTCTCCGGTAAGGTTTTTTGCATAGACTGCGTCGCCTGGTGCAAAAACCCGGTGCTTGCTTGATGAGTCCGGGGGTTTTTCCGGGTTGTATGTGGGGTGTAGTCTGTCGAGTGGTGACCTTAGTTTTCTCCCCATTAGTAATTCTGCCGGGCTTTTGTTTGTCGTTGTGTTTGGGGTTATATGTTGTATTAGGAGCATTTTATTTATTTTTTCTTGTATGTCCCCGTGTTCGATTTTTTGGAGGGTTCTCTTTGTAAATTGAACCATCCGTTCTGCCCTACCATTGGCCGCCGGATGCGCCGTCGCTGTCAGTGCGTGTCGTATGCCTCGTTCCGCTAGGAATTTTTCGAATTCCAGCGAGGTGAACTGGGGTCCGTTGTCTGACACGATGACATCCGGGAGGCCGTGGGTTGCGAAAAGTTTGTTTAAGACCTTGGTTACCGCATCTGTTGTGGTGGTCTTCATGTTGCTTACCTCCAGCCAGTTGGAGTAAGCATCCACCGTGATGAGGAATGTGTTCCCTTTTGTGGGCCCGGCAAAATCTATATGGAGTCTCGACCATGGCCCCCTGGGCGTTTCCCATTCTAATATTGGTGCTGCGGGGGGATTTGGTCTGGTTTCTTGGCAGCGCGAGCACTTGGCTACCCAGGCCTCGATCTCCTTGTCCATACCTGGCCACCAAGCATAGCTTCTGGCCAAAGCTTTAGTCCTCACAATCCCCGGGTGCCCTTCGTGTAATAATTTTAATACTTTCCCTTGCAATTTTTCCGGTATGACCACCCTGTCCCCCCATAGCAAACAACCTTTCTGTAGTGACAGTTCTGTTTGCCGGTTTCGGAATGTCCTGAATGCTTCATCGTTGTCTTTCTCTGGCCATCCCTTTTCTACCCAATGTAATACCCGCGCCAGACGCTTGTCTTTATTAGTCTCTCGGGCAATGTCTGACGCGGTTATGGGTAGGTCGGGCAATGTCTCTATGCTGAGGGTGGTCGTCGTGGGAGCTGGGTCGTCGTCTAGGTCGGGAAGCGGTGAGCGGCTCAACGCGTCTGCATGGGAGATCGTCTTACCGGGTCTGTGTGTGAGCCGGTAGTCGTAGGCGGCGAGGAACTCAGACCACCTTGTCATCCTGGGGGATAGGATGTTCGGGGTGGCCTTGTTCCCCGCCAGGATGCC